CTGCTCAGTTGTCTCTGCACTCGCAGCCCTGTTGACACAGGTGCGATGACGTAATGACGATATGACGGTAGAGGGTAAATTTCTACTGTAGGCCAACTTCATACCGCTTCCACAGTCTACCGCATATACCACGCAGCCCTACTACAGCCATGCGTAACGTCTGACGTAATTACACTTTGCATAGCCTGGTTGATTCGATCCAAACCAGTAGATGGAAACACGTCTGATGTGCATTTCTTTTTTGTGACATTTTAAAAGTTTGCTCAAAATTTGCATTAAAATTGCAATGGAAACACATCTAGTATGTGTCTCATTGTTCCACCCCATTGTTACGTCTACTATGGATGACACAGTACTCCTACTGTATATATCAAGGTTTATGTCACAGAGTGTTTGATAAACACACTCAGAAAGTATACCTGTCCCTACAGGCCAGCGCATTTTCACTCCCAACTCGTCACATATTGACACTTTTCCAAAGTTCTCTCTGCGTCYGGTTTTTTGATGCGTCGGGTACCACCCCCCCCGCCCCCTAGCGTCAGTTATTGACGAGATGGGGTGGAATCCTTTGTCATAATTTCAGAAAGTGTAGAAAATGCACAAAAACAAACCATCCTAAAGCCTAAAATTACCTTTATTTGCTCTAGATATCCTGTCCCTGACCCCAGTACCTAAAATTAACCATGAACCCTGATCCCTGATATTAACCACGAACCCCAACTCAAAGACTCTGATGCGTCAAAACCAGACGCAGAGGGAACCAAGAAATTTATCAATAGCTGATGCGAAGGGGTTACCCAACTCGTAAAAATAAGACGCAGAGGGAACCTTGGAAAAGCATCAATATGTGACGAGTTGGGAGTGAGAATGTGTTATACTGGCACCAGCACATCTACACCCATGTTGACTAGTGTTAATCACTTTCTCACTTAGCTTCTTGGAGTATAGAGTGTAGCTGCCGTTGTTTTTGTAATGTGACGTTTGTGATTGGAGCTTCTACTTTGGTTTGAAGGTCTTTTACCAACTGCTTTTTTTAATTCTCTACAAAAACAGGATACGGTTTTTTAATATGAAAATGATATTCCACAGATTTGATAAAGCAGAAAGTTTTAACACTTTAACACTTGGCTGACACGCTGAGCTGGTTGTGATCTGCGAAGGTGAACAAAGCTCATATAGTTTATAGTATTATTTCCCTTTCCGATATATTTCATTTTACACACAAAGGCATTTTTTGCCGAGTTTGATATAAAAAATGTAAACATTTCCAACATYTATAATGAATTGGGGTTTTCTGAAGCCTGGGGAAAGAAACTTCTTTTAAGTCCACTGACATAAAATCTGATACTTTGTATCACATGTCAGATGCTAAAATAGAGAGGTGTACAGGCTTTAGATTGTGTCTTTTGATATCCTTCAGGCTCTGTGCTGACATCTCAACACACCAGTATCATTATTCTGTTTGGATGGAATGATGTTCTGAGCAATGTCATGACACAGTTCAGTGCATTTGTCTTGGGCCATGACAGGTAGTTGGTCTGACAACTCAAGAGTGAGAACAGTTTATTGTTGATTCAAACAATCTTTGTAACAATGTTTCAGTTGCACATGGTACACATTTTATAGAACATGAAAAATGCACAGTAGTGGTCAGGAAATCTACCTTTCACAAGACATTATTTAAAGTTAAATTCATAAAAAATACAACTGTGTCAATTACTTTAGGGCTTACTGTTTAAGAATTCTGAACCAAATAGCCTATRTGCCACGGTCATTAATGACGTATTTCCGGTAAAATTCTTGCCACGCTCCTCCCTTCCACTCCCTKCTTACTGCCTATGTTTTTACCGTTAGCTGCTAGTACTAGTCTGTGAAAAAGACACAAAAATTAAAGCATCTGTGATCTACTGGTATAAAACATGAGTTCTGTTGTGTGTCGTTGTGTCCACTAAGCAGCAGGTACGATCGAGTAGATAGTTTTTGTCCTTTTTCCTCTTGACGAGGAGGTGACAGCAGAGGATCATAGAATTACAAGGAAAACTTATCTTTAAAAGCTCACGCTTGCGTTTGTAATCAGCATTTCTAAGCTGAGGAGATTCAAGAGTCAGCATCAGAAATGAGAAGATGAAGGTTACAAAAGGGAAATGTACATTTATCCCCCTTTACTGCCAAGACCGGAAGAGGAAAGACCACCTCCAAACGACAGCTAGCAGGAAGCTAACACAGCAGCCGGTACGAAGGTAGGTGTGTGCGCACGCGTTTGTGTTATATGAAATGTTTTTATGCGACTTTGTCATGAGTTTTATGCAAAAGTAAAAACTTGTTACAGTGTATATTACAGCGTCGACTAAAGCCGAGTGACGAGCCCCCCACCCCCGAGAGCAGCAGAACCTCTGCCTGATAATCATTACGTTTTCAGTTCACAACGTGGGGGAAAACGATCCAAACCATACAAGTAGCCCATCGATTTAAATCCCAGACTCTGCTCTTTCCAACAATATAAGTGTCACAGCTCTACGTGAAAAATTCACAGAACAAGCAGCCAHDGAATAGTGAAAAAGGCTAAATTCTGGAACCATAAACACGAACGTCTTTCCTTTGTTTTTATGACTTTAATCCACTTTGGAGTGATTTTTTTCCCACTTGGCTGGACCTGTATGTCTCCTGTGTTAATGTTGGTACATGTAATATGCTAATTCTGTACTGTGGAGATCATTAAGAGTCGTTGTCGGGTGAAAAAATCTTTCGCTAACACTGTGTTGACCATGAACCGGAAGTGTTGGGAGTGGCATCAAGTGCTGGGCCGGATGTCCGTGGCATATAGGCTATTCACATTAAATTAGTTTTTAATGAGATAGACTTCAAAATAAAACAGTTAATTGTAAATAGATTATGTATTTTGGGGTATTAACAAGTAATGTATTACATTGTCACCAGTTAGTAGTTCAGTCTGTCAGCTTATTAAGACATTTATTTTAGCCTAATTTTCAATGAAGAGGATTTTATTTCTAAACTTTTCAGTTTTGGGTGGCAAAAAAAGAGACTCAAACAAACAATAAAAAGTCWAAAATGTTTTTCAAGTGAAAAGTTGCCCAGTCAAAGAATGTTTTTATTGTGTTCAAGTCAAATCACTACAAGCTTGATGATCTACTTTAAGAAGATTCAGATTTGATTTAAGCACCTTAAAACTTCCACTTCCATTGCAGTGTGCATACTGGACCTGACCAGGTGTATTAACTCAGTTTACTTTCTCAGCTTTGACGAGTCAGGCATCTTCCTTTATTTGTGTAGTTAGGTTAAAGGATGAGCGCTGGACTTTTACCATTAACAGGTCTCCAAAAAATTAGAGTACACAGATTTTTATAAAACAGCCTGAGCAAGAATTCTGCACACCATAGACACAAAGATCCTGCCCTTGACAGAAGATATTAAGAGCCTTTGCTGCACAAAGTAGCTAAAGATTGTCTTACAAGTTTGTCAGAAGCATTTTGTTCATTTTAAAGTTCACAGAAAACATAAATGTCACTTCTGAAAGTGCTGATGTGAATGCATCTGTGCAGAACACTCTCCAACAAGTTGAGAAACTTAAAATAGACAATGTTAGCAAACAGTCATGTAAAAAATAATGAACACTGTCATCCAGTTCAATGGTTTTGTGWATCAGAGCATAAGAAAAACGCTTCCTTATCATGTCTTAAATTTTAAAAAATTGTGTTTGCAAAACTGAGGGCTAGTTTTACACAAGCTTTATTCAGATTTTTAGGTATGTACACAATATAATATTAAATAATAATGTAATTTTTGTAGAGATATATTTGGGGGTTTTGCTAAAGATAATGTGCTTGTTATTGAATTTTTGTTGTTGGAAAGTTTATGAAACACATTATCTGGCATCCTCTGTAAGAGCCACGTAACGCTCAATGTAAAGCTGCTGAAGCTTATATTAAAGAAGTACTCATTGGCAAATAATTGGTTTCCTTGCAGCTCTTGCAAATTAAAGGCCTGTATGTTGGCAGCACATGGCCTGAGAGTATCTTGATTTTTTCCCAATTTTTAATATACATAAAAGTCTACAACCAMTGTTATTGTCAAATAAATCTCACACAGCTGATATTACAGATCATAGAAACCAGTAAAAGGTCATTGTTCAAGTGYTTTGACATCATACATTTATGTGGCTCCCTGATTTAATCTGTTTGTGTGTATACTCATCAAACCTATTCTCATTATCCTCTTTTCTTCTCATATACTGACAGCTGAATCAAATAATGTCACAGAATTTAATTATTGTGACCTTTTGTCAGCATACTCTGAGGTCCTCTATCCTCCACAGTCGCGACAGGGAATGCGCTCTGATCTCTACCTTTCTGCTTCAGACTTTCTCTCCCAAACTGAGAGAGTGCAAATTCGAGACATGAGAAAAGGTTGCAGTTGGTTGTGTTTGGAATTCAAATACTTGTTTAGGCCCACATTCATGGCAACTGCAATGGTGAGGAGTTGTTTTAGCTGCGACTTGTAGTGAGATTGCAAATTCAGAGGTCAGAGTGGTGTTATAGAAGTTTACATGGCAGGAATTAACATGTGTGCACTGTCATCTGTTGTCTGGCCAGAGCCCACCAGAATCACCATGAGGCCCACTAACATGGAGATTATTGTTGGCGAGAGCATTGTATTACCCTGCCAGATTGCCTACGATCCAGATCTGGACATCTCTTTCTCGTGGGCATTCAATGGCCAGCTCATCGACTTCCAGCAAGACAGTGATCATTTTGAAAGAGTAGGAGGGGTAAGTCATCTCAAAGCTTTTAACTAATACTTTCTGGCTGTTCAATGATTAATTAATGCATGCTTTGTGTTGTGGAAGATCATGCTCCAGTGCCCAGCTAAGGGCCTTTTTGACAACATAATRTCCAAGCAGAGAGATTTCTGTCAGGAGTTGTCCATTTGAACATATCTCTTGTTAGTCAGAACAGAGTCGTTTACAGTGGGAGATTTAATATTTTTAAATTGAGTAATACACATTACATAAAAAGTAAAAAAGTTTTTTTTTCTTATTGACATGCAAGTCAATGAGAAAAACAGCTTGACTTAGCAAAACATGACTTGGTACATAGATCACAATCATTTTATTGATCAGTCAATTAAATAATGTCGAATAAAGTTTGGACCACAGTCAACAAATCAAATAAAGTCAAAGTTTATTTTATTTATAAAACACTTTGGCCCATGTGCTTTAAAAAGTAAAATAAATAAAATCAGTAATAAATAGAATACATATGTAAACCCTTCACCATAATGAACTGAAATCTTGCAGCACCCACAAAGTCTCCCTCTCCTCAAGAACACACATAATAAAATACTGCCTGTGAACGTTTAAAGGACTCAAGAGAAAGCTTGAGCTAAAGTCTGCGTGTTCAGAAAAGACACAAAGTCAAGCTCCTTGACATCAAATGGGCCCTTCATTTTTTGGAAAAAGTAAAATACTGAATATGACCACAGGAACATCACGCCTACATTTCCACCTGAGCAAAAGTCGAAACATGTTTTGATGATTCTTTTTTTTCCGCTAAGGGAACAGAATAACTTCATCACATTGTGGRGCCAAGAAGATGGGGCCATTTACTGACTTTAAAACCTTGGTCCCCCAGCAAGACCACTGAATACAGGAAATCTAGCTTGAATATGGCTTAAAACAAATCAGCAAGGCAGCAAAGGAGTGAATAAAAATATGTATATAAGATCACAAAGTGAAAC